ACAACAGAAGGAGCGCTCAAGGATGAGATCTGAAGGAAGAACCAGTGGATTCTTCCACCCACTGAAGCGCACCAATGTGGCAACTTGTACCTCGGTCTCCAGGGCACCCATTCCTAAGAGTACAGAACTGGCTGCGGAGTCAACTTTTGCCCACCTTAACGATATCCAGCCATGAGCTGAACACTGCACACATCGCCAGGTGCCTTATTTTACAGTTTCCTTTTTGCCCAGGGCAACTGCAGACACCAGTTTGCTGAACTGCCCAAATTACTAACCTTTTGGAAAGAACAAAAAAGAGAAAACAAAGAAAGAGCATAACCACTTCTCAAACACGTAATTAGTTCTCGTAAGTCCAGTGGCTTTACTGACACTCCTTGGACTTAACGTCATCATTGAGAGCGTATTGTTACCAGGGAGAGTATTTGGTTTCCTGACATTGAGATTTTGCTGATTACCCATAACATATGACCAAAGAAGCCCTGAAGTTCTCCTACAAGTAAGAGGTTGTTCGCATGAAATCTGCGTAATTTCTGAATAAGTAGTTATTATACTGATGTATAAACTGCCTGGTAAGCTCCATCTCGTAAGTTGTTTTTAGGAGAAGATCTCCATTTTCATGGAGGAGACTCCATTACTAGCTACAGAATTTACATTCTGCTTCATAGAACTTGTCTATGCTCTTGGGAAACAACTGTCAGTGTTAGAGAGCTCTTTACCACGCCATGACAGCTACAGGAGATATTACTCACGCAAGGAGAAGTAACTTATCACATCAGGAAACCCCTGTTCTGGTGGGCTGTGAAAGTGTAAAGAACAGTCAGTGCGTGGGGTGCAGAGGAGTACTGCAGCAAGCACAAGGTGAGGCTGGTGCCAGTGGGGGCACAGGGACATCAGCTCCTCAGAGGGATACTATGTGAGTAGTGACAGCCCACGTAGTACTGTCCAAAGGCTGTTTAACACCTTTGTTGGTGACACGGACAGTGGGATCGATGCACCCTCAGCAAGTTCACCCACGACCCCGAGCTGTGTGGTGCGGGGACACACGGGAGGGCAGGGATGCCATCCCGAGGGACCTGGGCAGGCTGGAGAGGGGGGCCCGGGCAAACCTCATGGAGTGCAACAAGGCCAAGGGCAAGGCCCTGCCCAGGGGCCGGGGCAATCCCCAGCACAAACCCAGGCTGGGCGAGGAGCGGCTGGAGAGCAGCCCCAAGGAGAGGGACTGGGGGTGCTGGTGGGGGGAAAACTGCCCGTGAGCCAGCACCGTGCGCTCGCAGCCCAGAACCCACCCGTGCCCTGGGCTGCAGCCAGAGCAGGGGGGGCAGCAGGGCCAGGGAGGGGATTCTCCCCCTCTGCTCCGCTCTGGGGAGACCCCCCTGCAGTGCTGGGGCCAGCTCGGGGCCCCCAACAGCAGAAGGACACGGAGCTGCTCAAGCGGGGCCAGAGGAGGCCACGAAGATGCTGGGGGGGCTGGAGCAGCTCCCCTGGGAGGCCAGGCTGAGAGAGTTGGGGGGGTTCAGCCTGGAGAAGAGAAGGCTCCGGGGAGACCTTCGAGCGGCCTCCCAGGGCTTAAAGGGGGGACAGGGAAGGTGGGGAGGGAGTCTGGATCAGGGGGTGGGGGTAGGAAGAGGGGTGATGGTTTTAAACTGAAAGAGGGGAGATTTATGTTAGATATTAGGAAGAAATCCTTCCCTGTGGGGGGTGAGGCGCTGGCCCAGGGTGCCCAGAGCAGCTGTGGCTGCCCCCTCCCTGGAAGGGTTCAAGGCCAGGTTGGACGGGGCTGGGAGCCCCCTGGGCTGGGGGAAGGGGGCCCTGCCTGGGGAAGGGGGGGTGGGACTGGGTGATCTTTAAGGTCCCTTCCAACCCAAACCAGTCTGTGATTCTATGAATGAGGTAAAAAAATAGCTCTAAGGAAAAATAATTTATCTGAAGCTAGAAGACAAAATTGTTGTGTTCCTTTCAGCTCTACTGACCTTTAGGCCAGCCCTGAGATTTTGCTGTGACTAGGACTGGCTAGCCCTGGGAGTTTCCAGATCCTGGGGTATTTGCAGTGCCTGTCTAATGCCTGCCCTCTTTTGGCACACACGGAGAATTACTGCCCTGCAGACCTCTCTCAGGAAAGGCTACGGGCAGAGAGGTCAGTGTGGCAGAAGCATGGTCAATTCATGTAGTGCCACATGTGGATCCCAGAGGCAAGTTAAATTCTCACCCCAAAACATTTAGGGCTTTGCAAAGACCTCTGGATCCTTCCTTCAAGCAGTGCTAAGGACCCTGCAGCACGCACTCACCAGGCCTCTGCCTCAGCCTCGCAGTCACCTCTCGGGGTTGTGTGCCCATCCTGGATGCCAAAATTGGTGGCTCCTTGGAGACAATCCCCATGGTGCAGAGGCCAGGTAATACGTCACTGACATTTCACAGAGGGAAACCAAACCACACAGAAGCAAAACCCACAAGACCCTGACATTACCAAGCTGTGCATTTCCTTTCCAGCTTAGCACCTGGCATGGCGTCTATCAGCGGATGTGACATCTCTTGAGTCTCTCATGGCAAATCTGAGTCACTTTGATGCACTTCTAAGACATAGGAGACTGTCAAAAGAAAATGCAGGAGATAAAGGATCTAGGGTAACCACAGAAGCAGAAACTTGCCATATATTTGCAGGGGAAAACCAAAAGGCAGACAAAGGAGAAGGTGAACATAAAAAGCAAAAACTTACCAAACTTTATTTTGTTTTGTTTGGGTTTTGTTTTTTTTTTTTTTTTTTTTTTTTTTTTTTTTTTTAAATTATAGTAACTACTGAAACATGAAATACCTATGTTAACTGTCACATCCATACTCTGAAAAGACTGTTCAAGAACTGCAAAACCTGGCTCATTTACATCATTTTTTTCCAATGTGGCTCTCAAATACCATCAATTCTTGTCATAATCCTTCTCCAAAACTGAATGCAGCGAAACAGTAAGCAGAAAAAACCTCCATTTTAAACAAATAACCTTGTTAAAACTCCAGGTAACCACATGCGACAGCCTCACATGCAAGGGAGACAAAACAGTGCAGATAGAAATCCCAAAGGGGTTGGTTGGTTTGGTTGGGTTTCCTCCTGTTTTTTTTTAGCAATCTGACCTAACTCTTGTAGCTAATTACAAACAATGTAAGGGGCTGGCCCTGTGGCCTGTAACTCATGGCTAGTGCAGTTGAACAGAAGTTAAATTATTAATGAAACAATGGTCTTATTCTCACCCAGAAATACAAAATTATAGGCATTAACGGGCTGTTTTACAGATGGTTCTTAAAACAATCGAGAGGCCAAATTTTAGTGCCAAGATTTCTGCAGACAGTTTTGCATGTGCTTAAGTGATTTCCTGAATTTGGGCTCTATAGCAACCATGATGAATTTAATTTACAAATCATACAGGTTTACCAAGTACACTTACTGCTAATATAGTTCACACTAAAACCAGAGTTAGCGTTCATTTGTAGAATGAAAGAACTGATACCTCAGGTTACTGTATTACACTGGAAAAAAAATCCAGTACAGCTCTATCAGCTTAGATGAAAGAGACACAGTCTAAACTGTGCAGCTTAAAGTGTCTGAAAAAGGGGAAATCTGAATGACTGAAAAACAGGAACTTCCTTTGTGACACAGGCCCATACCTTTGTGAAGGGAAAGTTTTGTTTCTGGCATGTAGGAACACAAGTGTGGGCAGAAGGCAGCACCAACTTGTTCAAGATTCTCTGCCTATTTTTAACTACTTTCTGCCACTTTAGGGTGGATTGGAATAAAAAAATCCAAGCAAGCTTTTCACAGAAGAATGACAATACTGAACATAGCAATCAAAAAAAAAAAAAAAAATTCGTTATTCTTTTACTTAAATGCCTATATTAGTTTATTTAAATCAGCAATCTACCAACACCCAAATCCTCAAAAAAACCCCAAATCATAAATGCCTCCAATCCTATCAACTGGTATTATGGTTTAACTCTTCTAATAAGATTATACATCTCAGCACACTGTATCCAATGAGATACAGTTCTACTGCAGCACAGCCAGCACAGACTGGCTCACAGGTATGCATTAGCACAAAAGCCAGCAACTCCAGCCTGTGAGGGCTTGCTGTTACAGGATTTTGGCCACACAGCATGCCAAATTGCCTGTCTTCAGTTTTCCAAATGTTGGCGAGCAAATGCAACTTGTACCTCAGCTACCTTACGTCTGCTGTGCTCTTCCAGGGCCAGCATCAGTTCCTTCTTCAGCCAGAGGGAACCCAGGCCCCGGTTTGCAGGACATCTCCTGATCCAGAGGCTATGAGAAGGCACAAGAACACAGCGCAGTCAGTCATCTTCCTGTGCAGCAGAGGCAGTGAGCAGAAAACAAGTAAGATTCGTGGAAACAGCTGATGAGTCCACACCACAGAGGAGCTCCGCTGCCAGAGCAGCACTTCTGTCAAGCCAACAGCTCATCTGTTCCTGTGGGCTGTGTTTTTATCATATAACCCACAACCTCAGATAACTAATGAGCTATCTGCACCTTGCTCAGTTACATGGAAATGTGCTACTTGCTTTATTGCCTCTGAAGTGCAGTCTACAAACCTGGTAAGCTTAATTTCTGAGAATTTGTCGGGTGTTCCCTCGAATGTATTTCTCAGATTGATCCATCTGGTACTTTGCCATCCAATTCACTGCAAGATGACAGCATTTAGGCCACAGCACGCTTTCAAAGACCTCTAACATTCACAACAGGGGCTCTTACATTTTTGAAGGGGCTGAGCCTTACCATCTTGAACATCCTAGCAACACTCTGTTCAGAACTGCTGCCAGGCCAGATTTACAGAGGAAAACACTACACACAGCTGTCTCAAGCCACACAGAAAGTCAGGGGCAAGGAAGAATGTGAACTCAAAGCCTGCTAAACCACTGGATTGACCATTTGGTGATCCTGCTTTCTGTGAGAATTATACACACTGGAGTAACTTTTTGCTCATTTGTACTCTTCAATCATACACAACAGACATGTGCATCTAGCTTGTACCACAATTTATTTCAAAAGTCACTATCATACTTTGTATACAATACAAATGGTTACATACATTGTATATGCATTTCAAAATAGGAAATTATTGCTAAGTACACCATATGTATAACATATAAGAAAACATATGTTTAAAAACATGTTCTAGACATCAGTTATACTCCTGAATACATTTCCTGTTGCATATTTTCGCATATGCTTTGGTACTGTGTATATAGAATACCCACCTAGTGATTTATCTACTGAGGAGTTATATTTGCAGTGAAAAACCCTTCTGAATTATGTAACTTTCAATCTTACTTCTTCTTGAACTTTTACACTGAGATATTTTGAATTTGCTATCTAAAATCTGAATGCTTTCCAAAACTACAGACCAACTAACTTGTGGAAAAACATTACAGAAGTAAAATTCATTTCATACAGTGTACAGGCAATGAACTAGGTATTTTAACTGCACATAGACCACATCAAGAATACTTCTTCAGTTCTGATCGCAGATTCCACTGACATCATGCATAGAGTGATCATCCAGATGAATGGCCAGAGCACAGTTTAGGCATCTACCCACTGTTACATGATCTTTGCGTGTCTTTGCTCATGTGCAACCCTTGAAGGACCAGATAGTCAGCACTGTGTTAAGAGTTTAGCTCTTGCCTCTTATCAGCAGAGAAGATCTAAGCAGTTACTCTTTTCTAAACCATCACAAAACTATCGTTCAGCAGCAGACAAGCTCTAATTGTCCATATGCATGCTCCTAAACCTAAGACATAAACAGACTTTCCCTAAATCTGGGGCACTGTCTGGAAACAAATTTGCTCATGGGTTTCTCCCCACATTCACAGCAAGCAATCACGTACCACAAAAGTGCTTCGAGCTAAACAATTTTACTGTGGAGATGTCCAATCCTGACTGAAGCAGACTTGCTGATGACACACCAGGGTCTTCAGCAGAACAGCATGTCCACAAAGAAGCAGCACACACCACATTGGTCACACAGGGCTTACAGATAAAACATCGGTTATACATGGCAACTTCTAAAGTTTACAGTGCAGACAAGCGGTACTCTACCTTTTCCCATATTTTGAACTACAGTTTCCAATAATCGTGTTCCAGTCAGAAATTACCATTTCTTTTACATTCTGGCAATCCACGTATTCTACTTTCCACACACATGAATATCCCCATGGAATTTCCAAACACCTAGAGATCTGGAGCTACCTAATGATCATTCCATTTGTTGGCCTAACAATGAGGATACTGCTCAATATGTTAACATGACATTTCCTCAATGGGTACGCTTGAAGAAATGCAGAAAAGAGAGAAGTGGCATTGAATAGCCATCTCTCAACAGTCATTTAACAGCTAGCACCAGAAATTCGGTGCTATTCTGGAGCATGGCCAGCATGAGACACTAGCAATAACTGTCTCTGGAGGCACAGCTGACATATGCCACTCCACCTGACCAAGAAATATCTTGAAAAAATGGAAACACAAAGGAAGTTGGCTAGGTTCATCTGGGGAGATTCTCCATCTAAAGAGAGTTCATTTGGGAACTAAACTGAAATACTGGTTACACACACTGAGAAAAAAAAGAGACATGCTCTGCTGAGCATCTCAGAATGTAAGACGAGATATAAACTCAGTCAAAAAGCAGGTCTTTTCATTTCCCTGTCCTTCTGTCTGCTCAATGATCAGCTCTTACAGCTTCATAAACACTTTCTTCAGTCCAAAGACAACTGCCTATCACTACATACAGAACTGGCTAGAAATGCAGAGGACTATATCAGCTCAGTCCTGGCAACAGGGATTCTGTGCACAGGATCTGCCTAAGAGAAAGAATCACACAATTCCACCAAGAACAGCTACTCCCATGGGTCCTAATGCCAAAGGGGCTGCTCAACAAGACCCAGAGGAACCAAAGTGCAATTAAACAGTTACACACACCCACACATACAGCCACAGAACGCTCTGTCACATTCCTTGTTACAATCGCTTGGCTCAGAAATGCAGGAAACAGTAACGTAATGTGGACTCAGTTTTTGATGAGACTAGAATTGGAGTCAATTTGTTCTTCCTGGATAGGCATTCGAAATCTCCTTTCTGAAAGACAGATAATAAAAAAAAAAAAAAAATACTGTACAGAGTAGAAGAGGCAGGAAAAGGGAAGCCAGGGTCTTTCCTAGTTTCATTCCTCTCGTTTCAGAGGCACCTGAGTGACATTTGGGCTGGTGCTCGTCTTTCCAGCTGGTGCTGGTAAACATCACATGTAGGGAACAGTGAAAATATGCGTTACCATTGCTCTGTGAATGGAACATGAGGCAGCTGTGGCCTGACTCAAGAGCCAGGCTACCACTTAATTCTGAACACAGAGTTCAGCTCTTTTCAGTCAAACCTTTCCTGCGTTTGCAGGAGACAGTTCACTTCTACGTAGCCAAAAAAGTTCACAATATATACTTTAAAAGACTGCTAATTCTGGATCCTCTCTGTACTGAATAGAATTCCCTGCAGGAAATCATTACATTCTTTTTGCAAGGACTAAGTGGGGAAAAAGCTAGAAGGAGTTAAAATCAGAGAAAGAGAGAATCCTTCCGCATGGCAACAAGCAGGGGAGTCTGTGCTCTCTAACTATGACCTCCAGTGCACCAGGACTAAAGAGAGGATCAACCACTGGTAGTAACTGCAGATGACTGTGCTACTTCACCAGGCAGACTTCATTATGATTGAAACAATAATCAAAGTTCAAATAGGGGGCCCTGGTTGTTCTCTTATACATTTTTCCCCATAAAAAAGAAACTCACCCTGACAGTTGTCTCCACAAGGCCTCTTCTTGGTCTCTTTTTTGGCTGCTTGGATAATCAACAGGAGGATGGACATTCCACTCACCATAAGCAGTATCAGACAAATAAGGATAAGTGATAAAGACCCTGGAAGAAAAAACAGAATACACTAAAAAAAGATTCATGGTTCTAACTGGAGTTTCCATGGCCTTCCAGCTTCCAAAGGAGGAACCTACAACTCCACAATCACCTCTGAACCGCAAAAGCCTGTAAGTCCTAGCTGCCAAGCAGACTAGCAAGAAATCTAGAATCTTGTGCATGTCTCCCTGAAAGGCTGTGTAAAATACAGATATGGCTTCTGAGAAAAGTGTACAATTTCATTTCCAATTAACTCAATTTCAGGTGAAAATTCCTGACCAGCTCTAGTAAATACAGAGACTAGATTTGGTCATCCCCTCTTCTTACCCCAGTTAGTCTCTGTGGGGCTGTTTACATCCGGGCAAATGAAAGGAATCACACTGGGTCTGGATGGTGAGAACATTGCAGTCGTAGTATTATTCATTTGGTCAGTGGTGGAAAGATTCAAAGTAGGTGATGCACTCTGAGAGGTAGTTGACTGTGTGACATGGTTGCTGCAAATAGCATCATGTGTTTTCGTCCCTGGTCGAAGAGTATTTTTCCCAAGAATGCTGCAGCTAGAGAGGTAGGAGAAATTAGTGTAGTTTTTCCAAACAATTGCAGTAATGGCTTTATAAGTGATCTTCATGGAACAAGTGAGTGAACATTACAATCCTTGTTTTATCAATACAAACTCAAGCTTCACCTTTCCTAGGTTCTACAGATACATGAAGAACATCTAAGCTAATCAAAGTTATTACTGGGAAAAAAACCTGACATTCTGTTTTTCTTGGCATCCACACATGTAACAGCCTTGAAGCACAGCTGCATCTGGCAAGAGAACCTTTTGCTACAGAAACAAAACATTCACACCTTCAAAAAAAAAAAAAAAACCCAAGAGGCTAAGAATACTGCTGTTGTGATAGGTGAAGAGATAAAGGGCAGAAGGCAGATAGATGCTTCAAATCAGTACACAGACTTCTCAAGGCTCCAGAGTCATGAAGAACATGGTTTCATTACACCTGCAGGTATACTCTACACACCATGATTTTGGGCATCAACTGCTACAGCAGTAAACCCAAAATGTTGCTCTGAATATGTTTGGATCAGTGGTACATACTTGGTCCAAGGCTGACAGTTTTCATTTCTCCCAATGGAGTAAGACCCTTCAGGACATGGTAAACATACTGGGGGAAAAAAAAGAAAAGAGAGGCAGAATTTGAGTTCAGTTAGCAACATAACTGTATGACAGCTACACAGTAATTACAGTAATAGTTTATACTAGTAGTCTAGCTTATAGAACAGACACAACGAAACTTCCATAGCCTCTAAAAACCAGTCATTGGGTCAGACATAACACAGCATGCTCAGGGGTTCATTTTAGTCTGCAACTGGCAAGGCTTCTCATTATCTCCACTGGCTAATTATGGATATTAACAATGAGAGCAATAGGATCTCTGACAGCTTGGGAATCACAGAGCAACAGTTTGCACAACTACCCTGCTACAACACTTGTGTGGAGGTATCAGTGAGACAAATGACAACAGCTTTTACACTAGAAATAACAATCATCTCATCTGAAGTGGAGGCAAGTGTTTGGAGAGTCTGACACATCACTAACTTACCGCTTCCCAGAGTGTATCTGGCATCTGGCATGTAACCTGCAATACACATGCAAATTCTGTCAGAGGTCTTCTCACACTTCTTCACCTCCATGCTCCCCTTTCCTATCAACAACGGAATAAAGGGCAAATGAGAGACAAAAAGTAAGTTATGAAAGAAAAAAGAGTATTAACTACTCAGTGCCTATCTATTGTGTGGAGAAACAACCGCAGAGAACAGTTTATTAACAATTCTGAGGACACTGCTTTTCAGGCAGTACAAGCCTGCTTCCCTTCGAAGGCTCCACCATCAGTACCAACCAGGAGATACCAGTTACTGAAATAACCCAATCTTGGCACTTGGTCGTCTCAAGTGACAGGCTTTATGACATCAGCCTTTGAGAAGCAGGCAAAGGTAAGAAAGGATATGAACACCGATTGCCTCACAAATTTGTATCAGGAAATGACCACTATACTGTTGACTTACTATTGTTGCAGATTGTACAACTCTTGCAGAAGCTGTGGTTGTGCTCACTACTGAAGTATTCATCTTGACAGGGAGCACAGACTGTGTCTGCTTTTGCAGTGCAGCGGCTTCTCATTCTTTCACCTAAAACAAAGACCATGTAGGAGGAACTGACTTATCAGAAGGAAACCCTCATTTTCATGCATTAGAATGAAAGAATGTCGAGAAAGTAACAGTTCCATTTACAACTCTGGCTTAAAACATTTGGCAGATTTAGACACGTGAGAATCCCTAAAAGTTTTGACACATCGCATCGCTAGAAATTAAGCAGCTAAAAATGGGCTAGCAGGGGCCTGATGACTTGCTGAGAGCTGAGGCAATGCCCCAAATGATTCTCCCAGTGGATTCCAAATATTACTTCTCCAGACCATCTTTTCATATGGTTTAGACATCACAGTTTGCAGCCAATGTCAATTAGGAAAAAAGCAGGTTTTTAGCATAGCAATAGGTCTGATCTCCAGTATAATACAATGGTTTTATGACAGATCCTGTCTCCCCCTATGAGATAAATCACACAATTCAACCCCAAGTAATCCCAAACAGGTACAAAAGACGGCAATGGACCGCCTGGGTTTGCAGAAGATTCATTAGTGAAGCAGTCAAGAATAAACATTTGTTTGCATTCTGAAAGCCCATTAGGCATGAGAGAACATGGTTGTGTGTTGATATGTATCTGTATTGGCACCCAACAACAAAGATGTTACTAGCTCCACTTCATAAACAGTGAGAGTGTGCAAGGTGCAAGGCAGGCGTTTGTTACTATTCCAAACAGTACGCGTGTATCACACATTGGGTTTAAAACCAAGCTCTGAATGCTTGCACGCACCAACTCCAACCTGTGCAACACACAGTACTCACACAGAAGTTCATATTGATGCGCTGGGATGACAAGGTTTGTGAGCAAAGCAACTTGCCCACACTGAAACAGCAAGTTAACAGTGGATTTTGGAAAAAGAGTCAGACATATTACTTCTCTCTCACTAGCTTCCCTCCACACAGCACAGGCTGCGGGAACTAGACAGCTTTAATGACCAGGGTTTTTACAGTTGAGCTTAAATATGTCCTTATCCTCACAGGCTGTTTCTTTCATTTTGGTTCTCCATTTTCCCATTCCGCAGGTGAACAATGAGCACCAAGTCTCTTGCTCACTCTAATTTTCTCTGCATTTTATTGAGTGCTATCAGTGACAAAATACAGATTTTTAGTGACCACAACATATGCAATACACTTCTACATTTTTAGTACCTACACAACCAGGAAGAGACTATAAAGAAACATTTCCCCAACAGCTTCAGGTGTGCTGACAACGCCAAAAACCTGGTGAAAGTTCTTTCAGCTTAAGGAGGAACAAAAAACTTTAAAGGATTAGCTTTATCTGCATACAAGTATGCCTTTCTTTGAGTTCACAAACACACAGATTTAAATAGTTTTGAGAATAATCCAATAATAAACTGCCTCAAGTCTTAAAGGTTGAATTTATTCCCATTAGCATCTTTGATGAGAATACTACTGCATATGTTCGTGCCATATCCATTTTGTGTAGCAGACTTAATTTTGAAAAGAGAAAGTAACTATTCTGAAAGATGCACATAAAACCATATGCAAGACTAAGTTGCAAATGCATTTACAAACATGACCTACTCTCCCTCTAGATGTACTACATGTACCCTTCCTTTAGTAGTCAGTATTGATGAAAAATCATCCCTTTTGTTAAGGGGCAATCCCCCTGAACAGCAATATTCCTGTTAATTGGTATCACTCTTCATCACTAAGTGATTTCTATAATGAAATCCCAACTATTAAAGTATTTGAGGTTTAATATTTTTCATTTGTGCTTCTCAACAATGCACTGCCTTCAGAGATATTCAGACTGTGGAAAAAACCACACATATGCGTGCAAACCCCAGAATTCAGACTCATTCAGTTTCTGCAGTAAGAAAGGAGGAAATAAATACATTTCGTGTCAAGTTACATTTTGCTAATCTCTTGTTTATGGATCAAACTTATCTTTTTCCTTAAAAAAACCACCAAGTCTTAACTAGTATAAACCTTGCTATAAAAGAAAGCTTAAAAAACATCTTTAGCAACAGAATTAATTACCTAAAATTCTCCATGATTATGCAGTTTCTGAGCTTCTTTATGGGATAGGTAAAGAACAGTAACATAAACGCTACCATCTTTGCTCAGCTAATACTCCCAGAATGAAAATGCACCAGACTGATAGATTACGGAAGCTGAGCCACACAAAAGAAGTTAAAGCATATGTAGTTCTTTTAAAGATGAAGATTCCTAAATTTAGTACGTTACAGAAATAATCTTTGTCAGTCTAGACTGATATGAAAGTCTCCTCAAACACTCCATGTTATGCTTCCTACATTTCAATGGTATTTCCATCAAGCTGTTTTCTACCACCTGCGGGTTATAAATGGACAGATATTACATCAAGTAAAACCAACATCCAGTGAAAACTACTTACCAGGGGCACAGTCATTGCAGCATTTTTCACCAAAAGGATATTGATGTTCTTTGCATTGTAATCTCAAGCAATGGCTAATAGTAACTGCCAGCAGCAAGAACAAAACAGTAGCAAAATAAGAGTAAAAGCCTACAGCTACCATAATGTAGCCCTACCGTTCCAGCAAAATTTTGAAAGTGGCAAACTTTTGGAGAAGTGCTTCTAAACTGCTGATGGCCAGAACAAATTCACATGTCAGTTGCTGGGAAATTCCCAGTATGTGCTCCACGCCCCCATCCTTCTTCCCACACCACACAAAGCTATTTTTTGCAGTTCATAACTGAAATATTCATAGGCAGAAAGACAGCATGCTGAATAGCGTTACAAAAAGATTTCTATTCATAGCCTTAAAATAGAATGCCTCCAGCCAGGTACGTACCTCTCTACCTAGTATTAAAGAACAGGCCATGAATGCCAGGAGAACTAGATCAGATGATCCTTGTTACTGTAAAGAGGAGTATTAAAGCAACAGAGGTAATGCCTGAAAAGCTTTACAGATGAAAGCCATAGTAAAATGAAACACAGACCACATAGGCTTGTTCCTTAAAAGGCAAAGAGCAGACAGATTCTCTCCCAGTTTCTCGGTAACGGCAGACCCGTGACTTTTATTGCTGCATATGAGACAACATTGTTAATACATTTCTCTTCTCAGGGAGAGTGCGGAATCATAAATCATCAGTCATCTTGATATTGCCCTCAGGTGCTAGCAAAAGCTACAAATGCAAAGTGTTTGTAGACTCCATTTCAACTCTTAATCTCAGACCCCCTGCGCTGCCACCAAAGAAAAGTAAATTCCTGACTCCAAAACAGAGACTCTGTGTTACCCCCACCATTTGCTCCCATGGAAATAGAAGCTTCCAGCAGAGGTGTGATCTATGAAAGTAAAGGATGCAATATTCACGCACCAGCTACTTTTGGTGCCTATTTTATTCCACAGAAGCATGTTAGCTCTGGAATCTAAGCCCCCCAGAAAGCTTCTCCATCCAGCTGTGCAAGCCAGCAACAACAGGATGGCAGTGGGGGAGGCTGAATCACATGCTGGCATCACAGTCCTGCCCCCACCTAACACAAGCATGTAGAGCAGAGGAAAAAAAAAAAGCGATCACACTAGGAATTAGTGAGGTTTAACTTTCCAGTATCACTATTTGAATGTTACTAATTTGATCTTATTGATCTAGGATCTAAATGTTAGGTCTTCCAGTTCTAAGAGTTGCTCAAGTCTCTTATGCAAAGGCCCGAGTAAACGAGACATCCTACAGTAATCAAAGATGTTTTATTTAATTTAGTTAAAAAACATAGCCAGACTTCCCAGACAAAGCAGATCTACAGTCAATTTACATCTAAACACAAAGGAGATTTGACTGGAACAGAAATACATTTCAAATCCCAATTAGCCTGCAGTATTTGGGAGGACTGAACAGCAATATTGTGGCATGTTTTACCCAGAACTGCTGCTTTTCAGTTCTTTCTTAATTTTCTGTAAGACTGTTTCTCTGTAAGAGAGACAAAAGCGAGGCAAAACACTATTTTTCTTCTTCTCCTACTTTCCAAGCATTTTGGAAAACAACCACTATGGAAAAAGAAGATATACATTAAAGCCATTCTTTCCAAAAGGGTGTAAATCTGACAGAGCAACTAAACCATACCAGCTAACTTCAACTACCTTCACACTCAGTACCTGCATGCAGGAAATATCCAAAGCTCTTCCCACTGTAGTGTCACACTCAATGCCATTTAAGCGGCTTTATGCCTCATGACTCAGTCGTTCCCTCAGCCATATTTAACCAGATGTTTTTTCCCCCCAATTCTCTTTCACAAACAGTAGCAGACTTTACCTATCAAATAAGTCAATTATTATTCAGTAAGAAACTGGAAATGTGGACTCCTATGATGTCCACAAAAAAGGTAAAGTTAAAATTCTGCTTTATACATTTAAACTGAAAACTTCAAAATAATAGGACAGTGATGATGAAGCACTGATATTCTTGTTAAAGATACTTTAATACAAACTAAATGCTCATTTAATAAAAGCAATTAGCCATGTACTACATTGAGACTTTAACTTTCATGCATGGCATCCTTAAACGCTGCCAGGCTTGGTATTGCCACATTCCTTTACGTGGCCATATTATGCAAGTAAATAAAACCAGGAGAGAGCACAGAGGTTATCCCATAGCATTCCACATCTAGCACACTCCTTCGCTGGATTTTCACCAATGCAAATTAACCTCTCCCAAATGCTGCTTGGCATTGCCATAGGGATCATATGTACCACAGGCTGCTTCCAAAAAAACAGCACAGATGCAGCTACTCTGGTTGAAGTAGGAGAAGAGAGCTTCAGAGTGGTGAGTTGAACCATGCTATGGGTCAGAAATAAGGACCTGCTCTGATTTGATTTAATATACTTTTATCATTTTTGACCATAGATGCTTATACCTGATATTCCATACAAGCTTTTGAATTCTGGAAAGATGAAACACATCCATTAAATAGTAGCACTCAGATACAAAGTCCTACTAACAGTCTTCCTAACGTGTACATGAAAACCTCCTGAACGCGAAACTCATAACTAGTGCTTAGTGAAAGGCTTTAAAGAAAAAGTCACTTGATTATTTAGGGATTAAAAGGAAGTAAGTAAGGGTTCACCTATGGGAAAGGACCTACAAGAATCTGAGAAAGACTGAGTGCATATAAAATACTTAAAGAATTTTCTAAAATAAATAAGTCTATGGACAAATCCCAATAGTCTGAACTTCTAATATTCCAAGACAGGAATAATCTCCAGTACCTCCAAATCTCACCATGCAGTCCACTTTATCCTTACAGCTGTTAGTTATCATGCAATCCTGATTTATGGCAGAGAAAAAACAAAACACAATAAGGTGCAGAACTCCACGCATATGGTAAAAGTGAATTTTTCATAGTTGGTCCTCAAATTTCAGATTCATCAGGTATGTGTCAAATATTGCAACAACAGCACATACTTTAACATTTTTACAGTTGCTAGCTAAATACTGTGTTACCTTGTATTTTTCAAGCAATTCCACACTCACATTATCAAAAGATTAAACTAAGACTGCATATGCATAATCTTTGCCTCTATTGCAAGGTAAAGTTCCAAATTCCATCACCATATTTCAGCTGCTCAAGAATCCCTCTGCAAACCAGTGCTTGCTTTCTGAGCACCAGGTATGACAAGACAGAACTTGTCCACTTATATCTAAATAATTCAATTGTGCAAACAACTAGAGTATAATACAAAAATGCAGTCAAGACACTTATACAATTATAAACTAATATTGCTAAAACTTTTGTCTTACCTAGATTGTGAACAACCACATTGAAAAACTGTACGTTTACATGTATAATTTTGTGTCAGTTCAAAGTGCAGGTCATTGCATATTTATGAACCCTTAGTTAAAACAACAGCAAAGCAAAACCTAGACCTTTTGTCAATGAATCTAAAACAGCCATACCTATGCCTTGTGCTGAGTACCACCCTTTTAGACATGGGATTTTGTTTTGAACATCTCCAAATTCTAGCCATATTAAAAATCTCACTACCATGCAATCAAGTACATGTGGGACACTGGTACGGGGGTGGGAGTGGGGGCTGACTGATGTGGCAGGTGTTCTAAACTCATTTTAACAAGAGATTACCAATTGAATTTATCCCTCTCACAGTTCTTTCAAAATCATATTTTAATTTGTCTACTGAAGTTTCAATTTTTCCCAGTCACTGACAAGCCTAAAACCAGCAACATTTCCAAAGCATGAAGAAAAATATTTAATGAAAAAAGATATATGTATAAAAAAAGATTCTGATACAAGCCATTTAACAAAAACAAAATTAAAAAAAAAAAAGAGGGAATACTAAATCAGAAACAGACAGCAATACTTATATTTACATTATATTAAGAGAATAAATTTAATCAAATATAACATCTCACTTGGATTTTCAGGCAACCCTTCAGAAAGAGGGGTTTTTACAGTAAAGATGGAATCAGAGTAAAAATAAGTTTTCTATTTTAGACAGTAGTGGATATGACCCTTGTGTTACAAGATGCTTTTGGAGATTACCCAAAATCAGACTGATTAAAAAGCTTCCCAAATACATTGCTCTGGCAAAAGCAGTTCAAAAGCAAAGCCTGTATTTCCCCCAGCTTCATCATTTATGAGTTCATCACCATCATCGATTTGCAGAGGCAAGTAATTATACTAGTCTTAACAACAAATTTTAGTTAAGTAGTAATTGTACACCTAGGTGAATCCCATTTCTTTGTCCAACATCTTTAAGACCACAAACTTCCCCATTGTTTCATTTCAGAGGAAACAATTTTTTTAAGACATAATGAATCTCAAGTCTCTCACATTCCCATTGCAGCTGCAAACACAAAACCTGGCACACCATAACCAGTTTTCTTTTTAAAGTAGGTACAGAAGAGTTTCTCTGTAACATTTAAACCAAGCTCTTCCCCACAGCTCCTAAATATAGTTCAGCGATGGAAGGAGAACTCGTTATTAAATTCTCAACAGTAACTAAGTAGGTTGAGATAAATTGAGAAAAGTATTGTAAGATTAGCCAATCAGTCTATGTATGGATATTCTCATGAGGTCAGAACATACATATTTGAACCACAATCCCCTTTGCAAAACCCAACTTCTTTCAGTGTTATTTGTGATTTCCATGGATCAGCAGCTATGAGGGCAACAGGAAGAGTTAAATATTTTAAAAGTCTCCACCAAATAAGATTAGTGAAAAGCAGCTGAAGCTTCAGCTGGATTAACTGTACAAACCAGGGCAAACTGATCTATTCCAGTACCTGCCCCATTATTTATGAACCTTTTTTTTCCCCCCCTCACACTGAAGGCAACAGAGCTGTAGACCTTATGTATGGACGGAAGTTTTTTTAAGTCTAGGACAACACACTGTAGGCATATAACATAGATAGCAGCAAAGTAACTTCTGTCTGTTTGAGGGTTGGATGTTTTTTTGCCTTTTTTTTTTTAATTTATTTTTTTTTTTGAAAGCAAAAAAGTGCTTCGGAGCTCTGGAAAAGCGAGCAGGATCAAAACTCCTCATGGACATTACGTGCATAGTCCATAAGCTTGCTGCCTGTGAAGTATTCACTGTATTTCAGGATCTCCTCCAGCTCTAAGTGATGGTTTTGATTTTCATCTGCTACTGCTATCATTTGCTTTGCTTCATTTAGGGCATTGTATTCATTCATAGGATCCATATATTCCTAAAACAAGTAAGGAAATCATTTTCAATCACTAAGAACACATTTTCACACATCAGAATTATCAACCTTAGCTTTATATAAGCTTCAGCAATTATGACACCAACATAAGCCATCCCAAAGTGAACAAAAGCCATAGAAAAACGTGTTAGCATTCTTTTTAATAAACTCACATCTAGCCCCCTAGCTATTTATCCATTCACTGCTTCCTTGGCTGTTCTAACAGAAATCCAGATTTTCTCAGCTTATGCCAGTGTCTACAGTAACAGTATTTTTGACATTTTGGTTGCAAACTAAACTCACTATCAAATCTGGTGTCTTTTGTGAAGAAATATCGATTCAAAATGAAAAAAGTAGCACACTATCAATCTGCATGACCTCAATTTTCTTACTTCTGGAGATAATCTTTTTAAAACATGTTCAATTTAGAACTTTCCTGTTCCATTTTAAACCACCAGGCAGACATTACAAAGGTCAGAAATCTCAGGAACAAAGCATTTTGCTTCTTCACCCAGCTTGGAACAGATTAAAAGTTTTAAAGCAATGCACTTTAGTTCATGATGCTGAGGACTCAAAATTATCTTCAATTTCTTCTCAGAAGATGTGACATCTATGTGCATATACATATACAAAGACCTCACAGATCAAATGGCTATTTTTAGAAGAAAATTCTCAGTAAAAAGGCTATTAACACTGTCTTTTTCACAATAGAACTGTCTATCCATACTGCCATTACTGTTCATACCCACATATTTGCATATGGAGAAGGTTAGGAACTTTAACATTCATCCTGTCTCAGGGAGAACACCAACGTTTTAGAGGTTGTCCTTTCACACTGCCTATGCTGCAGTGTGTATTCTACCAGGTAAAACTACATTCTGACATCCAGAAAGGAAAAAAAGCCAGAAATGAGCTACTAGCCTATTCCATTGGTCACAGACTGCCACAACTACAGGGTGCAAAATATTTCATCGCTTGGTAGACTCTTCTGCAGACAGAATTATTAGAAGAAAGCCTTACTTCTGCAAACCAAAGTCCCAAAAGGCTACAAACCAGATCCAAACTTGAAAATATTTTTTTTTTTTTAAAAAAAAAGAAAAACAATCCAAAAGACAAGAAATCTCTGCTATTTTCTAGGCTATTGGGGCCCCAGGGTTTTCTGATCGTTGGGATTTTTGGGGTTTATTTATCTTTTTATAATTAATATATAGGTTGACAGTTACTCCTTTTGCAACTGAAAGTATGACTCATTGTCCCATTAACGAGTGCACCTAACGAAGTCTGTGACTTGCTTTCTTTCATGCACTCCATATCCATGCAAGTGTCTATGTGACAAAAAACCCTAAAAGCATACCTATGAATAAGTTACGCTAGGAAAACTCCCCCTCCTCTTTAATAAAAAGCATAACAACATTATCTACAAGCACTGTAGAATAATACTATAACCCAAAGTTTTGTAAAGTACACACATACACCATACAGTTAACTCAGATATATCTGGGCTTCGTATTCTCTAAAGCAGTTTTAATCCTGTATTTAAACAACTAATGGTTTTAAAAACACTATAACTATTCGCGAAAGGCTTACCTCCAGCTCTTCCATTGTGACAATACCATCGTGGTTAGCATCAATGACCTCCTCAAACTCCTTCCTTCTATCTTTTACCCAGTCATCATCAATATCTTGAGCTTGCTGGTTCTCTACAGTACCAACAGGTAATGAAATGAACTCTGAAAGGGTAAGTTTCTTATCTCCGTCTTGATCTACAACAGAAGTACATAGTAACTGAAAAGTATTTGCTTAATGCCCATAAAAAATGAGAAATTCCTTCATGTCAGAGAAGTCATTGGTACAGTCTGCCTGATTTCAGAAGTCCACAATGCCAACTCTAGCACAGAAGAATAATTAACACTTGTATCTTTGGTTAACCAAAAACTCTCTGTTACAGTACACACACAGTGTTTCACAAGGCTAAATACATACGCCCATCAATATACTAAAGAATTTTTCTGGACCTGAAGGACAGACTGGGTGGCAATTTGGGCCTTTTTTTTTTCTTTTTTTAAAACTGTTGTGTATTTTTTCAACAATCTACTGCAATATCCATTTTCTTACAGCTGTATCCAGTCTCGCCTTGTATTAGCATTCAGGTAAATGAACCCTCACAAAAGACTGCATACTAGAGTTGTTCGGTCTGTGTGTGTCACACACTCAGGTATCACTGGAAACTCTTAATATTTATTAAGCTAACAACTAACAGAGTCACAGTTTGCGTTTTTTTTTTTTTTTTAAATCTGGGTGCTCTAGCAGTTTTAAATATGCATTGCTATTGACTCAATATTAAAAAAAAACCACATGTGCCAATACTTACAAATTTATTTTTTTAAAAAATTGTTTTCATAGAAACCTCAACCATTTATTTCCACTTTCATGACTGTATGTCACGATTCTTACATAGTTGCTGTACTGGGGAAGTACAAAGCAATTAATGCCCACCTCATGAACCATTCACATCAATATGTTTTATAATATTTTACTATTCAGCAGACCTTTTCTACTGTTGCTACAGTGACCCTACAATGCAGCAGCACCTCAGTGTGAACCAGTGTCAGCTCATCTTCTTTGCATGAAGTACTCAGAATATCTTTCTAACATATACTGTTGTGCTGTTCTTTAACAGCCAGAGACTAAATTTAATCTTGAGATGCACAAACAACTCCACAGATACTAGCACTTTTCCTAAGTTAGTTTTCCTTACTCATCACATTAGATGATTTGTAGAACAGAGCAAACAAGATGTGCCAGAACTTCAGATTGACCCATGACAGTGCAATCACCTAATGGCATCTACCTAATAAAATGGTTTGCAAGTAAACAAGTCCCAAGAAACATGTTTTGAAGTGGCATACCCAAATCTCGGATGATTTCTTTCACCATGAACTTCAGCATTCCCCTACTATGCTCTGGATGAAGAAAGGACAAGAATTCTTCTTCATTCAACAACAGATCAGGAGGTGGGTTGTCAGCTTGGTACCATCGATCCTTCAGGTTATCTAAAACTTCCTGTGCTAGAATTTAATAAAAAGATTTAAGCTTATGTTAAATGAATTTAACATTCTTAAAACATACCTTCCCCACTTACTCAATTGTTTAAGCAAGGATGACCTATGTACCAGTTATTTTACAGTTCAATTCCCAGGGAAAGCAGGCAGTGAGGGGATTCAAAGTGCAATTAGTTTTTTCTAGTTTGTACTGGAACACTAGGAACTGAACTGAAATTAGGATGAAAATAAAGATTTAGCTACACTTGTATCAAAACTTCAACATATCGAGTGAAAAGTAACTGCCCTACCAGTACTGTTAGCTGGTTCTGGTAGAAGGTATGAATAATCTAACTTTGTTTAGCACTACCTGTTCTCCTTTCTTATTTTCATATTTTGAAGACTAGTACCAACAGAAAGCTTTCACCTGCCTGAACACCAGTAGTACGTTTCTTCTGAACAAATGATTTTTGTTTTCTACTTCGAATCAGTCCTGTGCGTTGAAACAGCCAAAACATTCTTCAAATTCAAAATATTCTTCAGATTCCCTATCTCCATGTATTGTAGCTGTGGCATTACACAACTAGTTAATATCTACAAGAAAGGAAGATGGCAACCAATTCTCTTCCTACCCAAATAATAACCATAGAACAAACCCTTTAACATTTAGCATGTTTTCTTCTAAGACCAAATAACATTACTATGATTAAATCTAGAAATATGATTTTGATCTGTGAAGCACCATTGTCTCAAACAGATTACAGAAAAGGAAAACCAAAGCCTAGTTATTACAACAATCAACAATACATTTCAATGGACAGCTGTTCTTTATAAAGCATCTAACTGAAAAGGCAGTATAAGCAAAGCCATAAAGCAGAGCACTAGGAAAGCTATGAAGAGACTCCTGCTGTGTCTCTACTCCTCCCTTCTTCCTTTACCCTGTCAAAGACACAGAATTTAAAAGAATCGCCTATCCAGAGAGCACTCACATCTTTAGACTCAGATATAACTTTCAGTATTTCAGCCTAAAAATGTGATTTGCTGGAACTGTGAAAGATTTAAGAGGATAGGTCTACAAAAGAAAGTTTGGAAACATCAAGGACAGATGCTAAGCACCAAGAAGTGCATTTAGTTTTCAGATACTGAAGGATACAAGTACTTATTACTCCTTTGAGCTATCTTGTCTGTTTTATATCAGAATGCATTCTGACTTCAGACCTAAACCCCACATATATTTTAGTTATCACTATCATTTAATAAAGGGAAGAATTTTTGCTGCAAGGAGAAAATGCAAGTTGAAGTACACATGTATGAACAGATACATCAGCACCAAAAGCACTTTACATTTCCACTTCTTTTATTTCATCTTACACCATGCAGACAAGCACTTAAGTGAATTTTTCCTAAACTCTACTGATAATCATAATCTGTGCTTGAGTTTCCGCTAAAACCATGCATCTGATTCGAAGAAAAAACCACCCTCAACACACAATGTGAATATTATGTGCACCTAGTGGTCCTGAACATAACCAAACAGGAAGAAAATACCTGCATAGCGTATTATTTTTCTGGTGTAGGCATTTTCTAAATGACACACTGGAAAAAATACTGTCTAACACAACCTGCCATCTGCAAAATACACTAACAAAAACAAATATGAAGCATTTGGTTTTCACAGGCTTTAAAAAACACTATGAAAGACTACAGTCTTCAGATGATAAACTTTTTAAAAATTTAATAAACTGTCTTAACTAGCTCCTGCATACTTTTGGTTGCTGAGTTACAAGACAAAAAAACCCCACAACAGTTGCATCCACATTTTTTGAACTGCTAGTTGCAATGAAAAGTTAAGTCTTCAGTGAATGTTTCTGATGTGAAGAGTAAAGAAATCCTTCAGAATCTTAATAAGAATCTTAGGGCAAGTTCATCAACGGCAAGTTTTAGTTATATCAAGGACACAAGTAAACACAAAATCAAGTAACTTGCTTATGGTTTTCCAGTGTAGCCAACCCCAGATGTCAGAAGTTACAAGTCAACCTCCCTTTGTCTGCCTCTGTTACTCAGTCTTAAATGAAACTCAACTGTCAGTCATCAGTTGAAACTGCCATTACCTGCATAAGTTAAATAAAGTTGTGTCCCTTGTTTTGGCCTGGCACCTGAACTGTAGTGTGTTTCTGTGCAAGACTCAGAACATGCCTTAAGATTTACACATTCAGTTCTTTTTTCATTATACAGACTGAAAAAGAATACTTTTAGACTGCACCAGAGTATGAAAATAGGTTTTGTCTGTCATCCTCAGGAAGCGGTAGATATCTAAATTTGATTTTCCCAAAGAAGGCTTGTTACCTAGGTAGAAAAATGATTATGTACACGCTTCCCTTATTCAGCAAATCTTTTATCTGATGAGCATTCCTGTAAACTGTAGTTAACCACACTGCCATAGAACATGCTGCACAGGTATTTTCCCTGCCATAAAATTCAAAGGCCCATTTGCATTTTAGTTGCTTTTTGATAAATGGAAAATATAACATAACCCACTTTTAGATGACTAATTCCTGCAAGGAAAGGCTAAGGCTTTGTGTTTTACTTGACAGTAAATTTAAACACTTTTAGATGGGGGTGGAGGAGCAGGGAGAGTACTTTGTCAAGAGTTGCCATACTTATACCAAGCCAGATAGAAATGAAAGTTTCAAAAGTAATAAGAAAGAAATGATCACTCACTCTCTGTAGAGAACTTAGATGGAACAAAAAACAATTGTTAGGCAGCCTTTTGCTACTAACTTCTAGTACGCTTTGCGGTGCCTAAGCATGGACCTATTTAAACACAACCCTGTTTGATAGCACATACACAGCTCCTCAATTTTAGAACAAGAATCATGTAGAGGAGCTCCCTTTCATTTGGAGCAAGAGGGGACCTACTTCCCCCCTCAGACATAGGTCTGAAATTTTACCAGACTCTTAAATAACTGAAAACTATTCAGATAGTCAGTAACAAATACGCAACCAAGATTTTTCAGAATGAAATAGTCACACCAAGAGTGTTGGGAAGGCAGATTTGAGCTGGAAGAAATCTCGTATTTCTGTCTTATGACTTACACATTCTACATTTGTGTAGAAGCAAAAGAACAACTAAAACATTCACCTTGTATTAAGAATGGTTTTGACATTCAGATTGTAGGAAAGTAAAAGAAAAACCAACACACACCAATGATCTGCACTTACTTTCTTCATCTATTTTCAACTCTTCATTGTTTCTGATCTTCTCTGCAATCTCTTTTTCATTGAAGCCCTTACTTGCCAAAAATTTAATTTTATATTCATCCCAGGACACACGGCCTATAAGAAAGAGCCGTATCTCAGACATGACATAGTAAGCTTAAATGACAAACTTTTGTTCTCATTACTTAAAGCAACACGTGCTAAAAATCTTTTGGTGCAGCACTATAACCATGACACTAAGCTTTATGAATAGCAATATGAAAACTACCACCCAATTCACTTTTATGCTTCTTTAGACCAGACATGCCTTGTGAAAACAAGCGATTTATATCACCATCCTCACCCCATCCCAGGTAGAGCCACTTGTTACAGTTTCCTACGACCGCAAGTGAAATAACACAGCAGTCAACACAGAATTACAGTGCTGACTGGAACACGTTACTTCTTTGTTCGATTGTCTCCTGTATGGATCAAAACTGTTGCAGTTACATGAAGTCCAAAGGAACCTGGATTTTGTCATAGCACATCTTAAGAACAGCCAGCAGGTTTGGCTACCAGCAACTGACTTAATATGTCATCAGGAGACAGAGGAATTGTTCATCTTACCATCACCATCAGGGTCCACAGCTCGGAAGTGCATTTTATTCTCCTCCACAGCTTCCTGGAAATGCTCATCTGTCTTTTCCATGATCCAGCGCTGCATCTCTTTTGCACCTATCTTTTTATCATTATTTATATCCACTCTTTGGATGAATAGCAAACAAGATTTAGATTGGGGGTTGGGGTGGTGGTATATTTTTAGATTCTAAATTACTTTATTCAACTATAACAAAAATAGGTTGCTACAGGAAAGAGTACATTTATAACCCTCTCTGAGAAGTTGTACATTCTTTGAACTACAGAGTAAAGTAGTAACAAGTTAGCCATTTATTTCATAATTAATTTTAAGTAACCACAACATCTAGGTTACTACTCAGTGAAAAACATTCAGCTATACTTCATTTTGCTGTAAGTTAACTCATTTCAATATTATGTTTTTGAGTAAATTTTTTAAGCAGAGCAAACCACAAATACATCACTCACAGTATATTAGCTCACCTCCTATTGGTTCAGAATTGCCAACTGCTGCAGACTTTCACTACTTTGAAAAATTTCTTCTCTAACATTCTCTCAAACCATAACTCCCTCTCAATTTATCTTTCCAACTCCTTTTTACCTTGATCTTCCAAGATCTCTGAAGTTTACTGATGAGCTACCTCCCTGCATCTGCCTAGATCACATCACAACTGCTGTGATCATTAATGAAGATATAATCTGAGGAACCTTGGTGCAAGGACTTCTGAACTATTTAATACTTTGACTATAGTACTTGTAAGTGGAACAACACAAACCAATCAAGTTTCCTCTATTATACCTTGATCTCTGGTAACACATTACAGCTGGTAGTTTTTATTTCTTAACTCATTTAAAAGTTCTGCACATATATTTCCTCTCCATTAGGTTTCCGAGTTACCAGGCTGACTTTGCTTTGGCAAAGGATATGCTTGTACTCACTGCTACTGAGCTACTGACCTACACAACTAAACTTTTCCTACCCAACTAAAATTATCAGTAAACATTCAATCTGACAATCCACTGTTCCCCTTAATGTACTACTGATACTGCTTTATTATATTAAGATACACTGCCATACCATCAATTCCATTAATGTTTATTTAATTAAAAAGAAGTTGACATAAAAATTACAGTTGAAGAATAAATACAAAAACAATAACATGCCACCTCAAGGGGTTTTTTTGACCCTATCATGAGATATTTATTAAAAAAAAGAATATTTAAAACTGAAAAGACATCACTAACATTTAGGAGGCATGACTATTTTAAGCATACCAAAACCACTCTTGTTCAATAAAAAAAAAAAAAAAAAAAAAAGAAACTAAGAAAAACACAACAAAACCCCCTAGCTTGACTCTGGCTTTATCTGTTCCTATCATGGTCTTACTGTCTTAAGAGTACTGAAGTGTCATCATTGAAACATAAGTTATTTAATATGTGATTTGCCCTTAAATGTCAACTAAATGTTAAAAGCTTAAGCCGAATAACAACCCTAGCACCCAATTTAGTATCAGCAACTTTTCAGTATCAATGGTAAGACCTGTAAAATGGTCATGCTCCACTGGTGCCATCTTGCACTTCCCAGGTGAACAAATGTGGGTTTTGATATGGAATAGGTACTGTCAAAAATGAGAAGGGAAAACAAAGTATTTTCTCCTCAACCTTTAACATTCTAGTTTCCTTAGATCAAAGCCATCAAACTTACTACTTCCAGGCCATACTTTCCATCTAAAACACATTGTAACTAGGAAGAAAGGTAACAAACATCCCATTTATTTCTCTTCCAGATCATGAAAGCCCACCTTTGTTCTGCTACCACAGTTCACAAGTCTCCAATGACTCGGATTTTCACAATCTAGCAGGCAGTCACTGTCCAAGGTGAGCAGAAATCCTTTTACTGTCCATGAACAGAACTTCTGCTTTTGCAAGGAATATTTATCAACTATATGAAATATAGGGTATGGTCCTGCTGTGAGGTTACCATCTAAGGCGATAAAAACAAAAAACTGTCCATGCTTCCTTAGATAAATATCTCATTCAGAATGGACTACTGAAAACATTTCCACTAATAATGACAAGCTTAGATAATTGCACATTGCCAAACAACCTAATACTGGTAAATGATGGAAAACTGATTTTATAAACACAGTGATGAGCAATCAGTTTTCTGAGACAGATAGGCCTGAACACTCAAAAGATGTTAGTAAAGAATGGTACATTCTAATGTACTCCTTAAAAAAAAAAATGCCAAAGAACAAGTACTGGCAAGAAATAATTTAAATTCAAGAAAACAAGATTAATCTATGCAAGAGTATCATCCCAGATTACAACTTTGCTCAAACCCTCCTTGGCAACCTGCATATAGAAATCCTGTGACAATTTCTCAAACTTTATGATATACCAGCTCCAAAAAAAAAAGCAAATAAAAGGAAAATATTGATTGTTTTTTTCCTACAAGAAGAAGAGTTTTCTGCTAGAGAATGCTATCCCAAATTTGTAGAAACTTAGGTATATGATGTACTACTTCCTGAACTGACAACAGAAAATGTTTTTGTAAAATCAGGGACTACCATTAGCATATATTTGAATTAAAAAACAGTCTACAGAAGGCAACTTACTTTATACTTTATCTGTCTCATTCCAAAGAAAATTATAGATAAACCACAGCCCAGAGAGTAGTTGATGCAACGTGATAAATACCATGTATTAATACATTTCAGTAATGGGCAGCATCAGACAACAGCTCCCTTCAAGGTTATCCCTTCACTGACTATGCAAACTATGTTTCATTATCCATTCACAGCCTAAATGTTAATAATATCTTTGAGTAAAAAACAAGCAAGTATGCTACCCTATAAGATAACTGTAAATTTTTCTTTAACAAAAGCCTATAGTAAGGGCTGCACTCAATATAGATGTCAAGTCTGGAAGAAGCGATTTTAAACACTTCAGCCCAGTTTCTCAACCACAAGCCGTTAAAAATCAGATTTTTGTACACACCTTTCAAAGATCCACATCTGAAAGTGTTATCAATAAATACTGGCCATTTTGGTTCTCGGGTTCCTAAATGACAACGCTGCTGCCTGAGGTACTGGAGGGGGGTGCAGTAAGGCAGTGTTCTACATAAAAGACTAAAGATAACAATTTCCTTGAGCCCCTAATGCGTACCACTTCAGAGTTGGTTTCTGTTTCATCCAAATAATATCCAAATCCACAAAAAATAAAAGTAGATCTAGAAAATAATGTTCAGTAACAGAAAGCAAAGCAATGCTCTACTTTACATAGGAGGAAGGCAAAATTTATTAGATGTATATTTAAAGGCACAGGTTAGAAAAAAAAAAAATCAGGGTGCACACAATACTTAAAACCTTCCAATGGCATACAGCATAAACAGTTTTCTAACTGAATAATACAAATCTGAACTCTAAACCTACGATACCAAAACATGAAAGCTTAAAACGACCCCTCTCCTCATTCTCTCTTCTACCTGCTATTGTCCAACATTGGCTGTCATTACTAGCATCAAACCACCACAGACAGAATGCATACCAGTAGAAATTAATACTGTGTTAGGCTATGAGACAAACCTGAAATTAAAAAAGGGTTTTGCCCTATGTGCACTCTGAACACAAACAGTCCACATTGTAAAGTCTAAGAGAGCTATATTTAGAAGCATTGTGGGATTTAGAATGGTTCTGCTTTAGGAAATGGTAAGTTCATGACTTTTAACCAATGGGGAAAAAAAAAAACAAACCAAAAAAACTCTATACGTGGTAGCACTTAACAGAAGGTCCATTTAAGCTTGCGACCCCATGAATGACCATAAAGGTAAGGCACTCAGCTAACACAAAGATTTTAAATTTTAAATCACAACTCCAGCTGCCACTAAGTAGCTGAAAACATCAGCAAAATGCAAATGCTAGAAGGATACTCAACTTTCGAACTCACGGGAGTAACTCCATCACCACAAAAATAACGACAGAAATCCCCAGACATTACATTCTTCTGTGCTTGAATTTATCACTTTTGTTCAGTACAAGTAATATAATTTAAAAGGTAACTGACCCTTAGAAGCAAAGCTCATCAAACTGGATTCTAGTACCCATTGACACTGATTTAGTAAAATCAGTATCATTCATTTTAATATCATTTCTCCTTCCCTCCTATCAACACCCATCTACACCATACAGTAAAAGAATTTTCTATAAAGTCCATTTAAATGGAGACAACAGCAAATTTTTTTTGGCAATTATGAGAAGTACAAGAAGAAAGGCTGCCAAGTAAGTACCTCTCACAGATTTTCTTGACCTGAACACTTACTCTTGGGCAGGGAAAGAAGACTAAAAAGGTACCCCCAGGATTTTCTGCACCATGCCCCAATTTCACAGGGCCAAGTGAAAGTACTGATTAACACTTCAGTAGACAAGTAATGCCTGTACTCCCAGTAAACAGTGACTTCAGAAACTGAAATACAGAATTTTGAAGCACTACGTGTTCTTTCAGCCATATATAGCTTGCTTGCCTAGAAAAACATCGTTTGGGGAGCTTTTCTTCCATGTTTCAACTTTATTTTCAGTACCCTATTTGAGAACAACGTATGCTTTGAACTGACTACTTTATATCATACTGGCACACCACAGAATCTCAGCTGACATTAGTTAAAAACACATTGTGTTTTATGTCTTCAAAGAAAATAATTCCAAAGCATCTGGAAGCCTGATTTACTAGGTTTTCAGAGAAGTTCATAGTATTTCTCTTCTCATTCAGCCTTTAAGAGTATGTCTAGAAAGCAATCAAATTCCTCAGAATGCTCTTCTACATTTCTCATCTAATCATCTGACAGAATGTAATTTTAAGTAAGCATCTGAGTGAAGATGATCTTGAATCCAATTGCTTTAAGCTTTCTATGATGATCTCTTTCAAAACAAACAGGCAAAAGTGAATGGAGTTTGCAAAGTTGCATACAGCAATTTACTAACCACCAGTTGAATGTTCCCAATAAACTTACAGCAATTAAAAAAAATAAAGCTTCTAAACACAATCTTAATATTTGTATATATCCTAGCAATGAAGTGAGTGGTATGAACAGCAAACGTAACAATAAAGGATTCTACTCTAAATGAAAAAGGCATTCTGATTTTCCCATTTGCTTTAGCTGCCTTTACTCAGGAGAACACCAGAAACAAAAAATCCAATGTTGTTATTGATATTTTTTCCCTGTTAATGAAAAGCTTGAAGAAACAAAGCTTTGTTAAGCCTTCTCATTCTATCTCAAGTATATGCACATCCCCGCACCAGTATCAGCGTTAAGAGCACCAGTGTAATTCAAGCTGTTCTAATAAAATTAATCTTCCATTGAAAAAATGCAAATAAAGCCAATTCTGCCATCTAGTGTCTAAAAGTATGCACCGATTTTGATTTCCATTTCAATTGTTTACTGACAGTCAAACATCTGACAGTTTATTAGCTAACTCAACCCTTATCTTGCACCAGAAGTGATTTATAAAAGGGAAAATGCTCTAATGTCTAAAAGTAAAGTTAATATTTTTGCACCAAGAGCTAAACGAAGCTTTCAAAAAGGATACCAAAAAATTTAATCTCAACACATCCATTCTGAGGAGTGAGAATGGTCTATACAGGTACCTTAATAACGTGAACACAGTGCTTACATTGTGATGTGTTCTCCCTCACCATTATAATTTTTAATATTACAGAAAAATTTGCAAATTTTACTCCAAATATCAGAGAAACAAGCTGCACTGTTCTGGGCAAAGTACATAACTTACTTCGAAAAGATGACCATGAGTTTCTTCCTATTTTTTCTGGGTTCAGAATCTTCCTCAAACTCTTCCATCTCTTTTCCTAGAAAAACTTCTTGATGAAATTCTTTGTTAAGATGTCCATCCATCTCCATTTTGACCCCGTTCAAGTGATCCGGGGGCAAGATCTCATTCTCATCTTTACTGTCAGCTGGCTTTTCTTTGAGGGCCGAATTATTTGCAGGCCGTGCATAAACATCCATTAGAAGAAAGACAAACAGAAGGGACAAATACAGAGATCCCAAGCTGCAGAGAAAGGCCTGTCTTGACATCATTTTTTCCTTTTTATTCAAAGTATTGGCTGATTAAATTACCGTGAATGGATTAAATGATCTAAAAACAAAAAGGAAAAAACACATGGATATTAAACTCTAGAACATTATGTCATTAATAAAACACCTCCTAAAATTCAGAAGAACCTACACACACAAGTATTTGCTGTGAAAGAATAAAAAAACTGTTTAATAGTAAATATATGACAATAAACTAATCCCTATGTTTTCAGACTGCACAACTGTAACCTCTGTCAGAGAACTCTGACAGATAACATCCTTTAAGCGACCCAGTTCTGCTCTGAAAACTGTCTTGAAGTGTTAGAGCACAAGCTGACCTCACAACTGAAACCAAGCGTTTACTGGGGAGTTAACCCAGTGCAGCCCAAGCTCAGCTGGGGCAATGCCCCCTCACTTCCCAGCGAGCTGCAGAAACAGCTACGCCAGCACCACAGTTTTCCAGAGATCTCAACGCAGCACCGCTTTAGAAAGGCTGAAAGACATAAAAGGTCTTTGTGGAGAGAGATGGCTGAGGAAAATACGATTACAAATGCGCCGCATAAAGCGGAGCTGGAAACACACAGGAAACAGCCGGCAGGAAAAGCAACCCCAGGGGCGGGCCTGTCATCACCTGCTTGCTGGGAGGGGAAAACGCTGCCACACACGAGTTCGCAGACGGCAGGGACAGGGAGAAACACCACAGCCGGACAGCCAGAGCGCCGAGAAGCACAAAACCCACAGACCCGCGAGGCGCAGCAGGTCCTTGGGCAGGGAAGACCCCACAACCCGGGCGGCGACGGCTAACCCTGCCCCGGAGAGCCCGACCCGACTCAGTGACGGTCCCGACACCTCCAGGAAGGGCCGCACGCACTCACCCAGCTGCGGGGCGCTCTAGGGACGCGGTTTCCGAGAACCGTGACGGGAAGCCGACCTCCGCCTCGCTGCCCCCCGGGCGGCTCCTCACGGCGGGACCCCCAAGGCCGCTGCCGCCCCGGGGGGACCGGGCGGAGGGAGGAGAGCGGGGCCGCGCCAGCGCCGCGCAGGAAGTTCGTCACAACGCCGTACGTGCCTGAAGGGGGCGGCGTGGCGGCCATCTTGGGGTAGGGTAGGGCAGTGCCCTCTTCCGCCGGCGGCAGCCATTTTCCCGCCCAGCGGCTCCTCGCGGTCGCTGTGACCAGCTCGGAGCAGGAAAGGGAAAAAACTCCGGCTCCTAAAAAATGCGAACGCAGTTGCTTACGTGCTCCCCCTTACCTCAATAATAAAGCAGGCTCCTCCAAGCGTGAACCTTTTTTAATTCCCCTGTCAGGTCCCTTTTCCTGGCCACCCGCACGCCTCGTTTCGCGCGTATCGTTTATGCTTGGAAGCGCCTCAAGCGCGGGCGTTCCGCGCCGCTGCCAACCCTGGTGAAATGCGGAACAGCCCAGCTACGCCGCGACTGCTTCCACAAGGCTACGCGCTCGCCTGTGCCACGGCGAAGCAGCACCGCCACGCACCACAACTTCCATGAGGGCTGGGAACACGGCCAGCCGCAGCGCCGGCCCCCCCCTCCCCTCACCCCCCCGGGGTTCTCCCCGCCGCCAGCCACAAGCGGCGCGCCCTCAACCAAAATGGCAACGCCTCGGCTTCGCCTGCCCTACCGCAAGATGGCCGCCGGGCGCCGCCGGGCGCGGTCAGGTGGCGCAGGGGGGCGGCCCCTCCGCCCGCCCCCCCATCCCATCCCCCCGGCAAGGCGAGGGCGGTGAGCGGAGCGGCGGCTGCTCCGCACACCGTGGGGCCGCGGCCGCTCCTCCGCGGGGCCCGGAGCCGCCGCTTCCCCACCTCGGGGAAAGGTGGAGGCGTGAAAGCAGCGCGGTGCGGACGGTGATTAGCTCGGTGAGGAAGCTTGTCCCCGCTCGGCGGCCGTAAGCCGTTCCCGCTCCCCCCCCACTCCACCCCTTGGGGGGGGGAGAGGCGGGGCTTCTGCTTTTCCCGCCTAAACCTCCGGGCGGGCGGGGGCTCCGACCTCTCGCCCCGTCGAGGCCCGGCGGCCATGAAGCTCCTGCGCCTGCTCTGCCGCCACAAGACGGCCCTGGCACTGGGCGGCCTGTCTCTTTTCGCCGCGGTCCTGCTTTACCTGGCCAAGTGCACCTCCGAGGGCCTCCGGCCCCTGCCAGCTCCCCGCGGGCTCCCACACAACCAGCCTGCCGTCCTGCCGCCGCGGGCTGCCAGGGGCCAGCAGCCCCCGGCTGCCCCGCCGCCTTCCCCTGAGGAGACGGCTTTCCTCGCCGTGCTCGTCACCAGCGGCCCCAAGTACAGCGAGCGCCGCAGCATCATCCGCAGCACCTGGCTCTCGGCTGCCGGGCGTCCCCCTCACGATGATGTCTGGAGCCGCTTCGTGATCGGCACGGCCGGGCTCGGGGCAGAGGAGCTTCGCAGCCTGGAGCTAGAGCAGAGCCGGCACAGAGACCTCCTCCTCCTGCCAGAGCTGCGGGATTCCTACGAGAACCTGACTGCTAAAGTCCTGGCCACGTACGTCTGGCTGGATCTGCACCTGGACTTCCAGTTTGCCCTGAAGGCTGACGACGATACTTTCGTGCGCTTGGATGTGCTGGTGGAAGAGCTGAGAGCCAAGGAGCCGCGTCGCCTCTATTGGGGCTTCTTTTCTGGCCGTGGTCGAGTGAAATCTGGCGGCAAATGGAAAGAGAGCGCCTGGGTGCTCTGTGACTACTATCTACCCTATGCTCTGGGTGGTGGTTACGTGATTTCCGCAGACCTGGTGCGCTATTTGCGCCTCAGCAGAGACTACCTGAACATGTGGCAGAGTGAAGATGTCTCCCTGGGGGTGTGGCTGGCTCCCATTGATGTGAAGAGAGTGCACGACCCCCGTTTTGACACTGAATATAAGTCACGAGGTTGCAACAATAAGTACATAGTAACTCATAAGCAAAGCATCGAGGATATGCTGGAAAAGCACCAGACCCTGGCTAAAGAAGGAAAGCTCTGTAAGGAGGAGGTTAAGCTCAGGCTTTCCTACATGTATGACTGGGGTGTACCTCCCTCCCAGTGTTGCCAGAGGAAGGATGGCATCCCATGAAAGTCTGAGGAAGGAGAAGGCAGAGTGTTGATGGACTCCCTGAGCTCGGTTACTGTTACCTGGGGAGAGTCCCAGTAACTAGGGCTTAAAAATTACTCAAAAGATTTTGCACGATTCATTGTCAAGATCAATGAAACATGAAACTCCTAAGAGCTGCTGATGTGGCATGATGTAGAGATGTTTAAAAAAAAAAAAAAAATGAGAAAAAGCATAGAAAGGCTCATGACAGGATTGAAGGCAAATAATAGGATGCAAAATATGGATAGTACAGAAAATTTGGGGGAGATAACCTGAATGAAAAGTTGCTGGAAGATTTTTAACAGATTCTAAGATTTATTTGCTAAAGATCGGGACAGGCCTTTATGCTGTCTTTAAGATTGTGAAACTAGCATCTGCTGTTTATTTCTTGGCAAGGAAGAAGTGTCAGTTTGGCAAGGTTTGAATATTTTAATGGGGCCACAAATCAGCTGCTATTGCCAGTGGGAGCAGGTGGCTGGTTATTGACACAAGCAGTCAAGTAAAGGGAACAATTGTACCTAGGATATTTGCATTAGGGGAGGGAGAGAGTCTCTTCTTTGGCAAGTGCTCCAATTTACAAGAATGGAATTATTAGACCTTCTGTATAACTTGTCTCTAAGCATTTTGTTGTTTTAAAGACATCATGTACATAAATTATCTGGCAGCTATGGAGTAAGTCTATATTTAGAAAGGTGGATGAGTTACGGTATTTGGCAGATAGAGATCACGTTATCTTATTTTGGGGGCAAATAGTTATGCTACAAAGCTAGCTTTCAGTTGTTAGGCATAGTTGTTGTTCTTAGTTTATTCTCCAAACACACTGTATATGAAGAAATATTTCCACTCCCAACAGTAAGTCATCTCACTGACTACTACAAGGTCAGACGTTGTAGTCTTCAGATTTATATTGTTCTGGATTACTTCTGTAAAATGTAAATTAGCAGGATGAGATCCATGGAAGCTATTTGGAGTTCAAACAAGATTGCCTTAATGTGGGTACCTCAGCTAAGAAAGTAAACTGCGTATAGTCAAGAGAAAGAAACCCCACAAATTGTTGTTTGAGGAGAACTTCATCTCTCTTTTCAGGAGATACGTTGCAATCTAAGGAGACTAATCCACCAACAGTCACATTTAGATGCCCAAAGCTAGACTGAATTCCCTCCTCTCCAATAGCACCTTTTAGTGGAACTAAAAATAATTTTACAGCATGTCTAAGATAATTGTTCAAGCTATATATCAGTAAATGGGATTATGTCCCTTAGTCCTGTCTACACTACAAATAATTCTGGTACTTGTCGGTGTCAATGCAGCATTGAACAGTAAACACAGACGGGACATTCTTGGCTGCAGAAAAGATTGCTTACACAATTTCACCATGCTATTTATATCTTCAAACCTTTAGGTAAGCCTGTCATTCAAACATTGTTGAATGGCAGATGCTCTAATACTCAGAAATAAATTTTTTTCCAGTACTAGCACAGAGCTACTGACTTCCAGTAAACTTTATCAACTACAGATCTTTCAGTATAAGAGTTTTTACTTTTATGCCTGAAGCACATTCTTAATTATCAGTTTTACTGTTTGTTGCACAGTGCACTTTCATACAATTTAATTTCCTCTACTCCCTAGGTCAGTGTCTGTTCCCACCTTTAGGAAGTGACAAATTGCAAAGGAAAAAAAAAAGGGGGGTGCCAGTATTTCTCTATTCTTGCTTCTTAAATTAGCAAGTTAACAAATCATACCAAAGGAATCAAGTATGGGATTTTTTTATTATTGTTCTGTTTTGATTAAATTATTGAGGATTAAGAAAAGTCTTCTGCAAAGGATGATAATTCTCTATTTTGAAAATTCAAACAAATCTTTGGATTCCTTCTAAAACAAAGGTAAATTAAGATAGTGAAAAAAATAAGTTATTTTAAGATGTGTCCATTCTAATGCATGCTTATTTATTGACAGATAGGGAGATGTGCTTTTCAGCAAAGTATACTATTCCAAACCAAGAATTTAACAAGATTACAGGAAATTTAAATTGGTTTTAGCATTAAAAAAAAAAAAAAAAAAAAAATCTATCTACCATTTGGGGTTCACTAGTATTGTGTGTATATGTGTGATTAAACGCTTGTACTGTGAGTATTTATTTATAATTATTGAGAATGTATTATGTATAGGAAAAATAAGATCGTTCAATGTCATTTTAAATTTGTTTAAGGTGGTACTGTAATGTCCATGAGAATTACATATCAAGCAGCGCTTGAATTTGTTGGTGTCCAAGCCATTATTTAAAGTACTGGGATCTGAACTGCAGATCAAGTGTCTGCTGCATGTCTCAAGCTAGTAAGAATGTACTGCTTATCCATTGCTATCAATAACAGTTCATGGAAGTTGTTTACATTGTTGACTTTGACTCTCCCTACCCACAACCCCACCCCCTCAAAAAAAAAAAAAAAAAAGTGTTTTTCATTGCTAGCAAAATTAATGGTGGAGAAATGCTGGATCACTATCTGCCGTTTGGCCCTATGGAAAACATTATGCATACGAATACTTAATAGATAGGAAATTCTTTGGAAGAGTTTCTTACAGACGTGTCAGGAATAGCGTGCGCCCTGCAGTACCTGGTGTGGCAGATCTGACAGCACCACGGTGCATCATGCGCCCAGGGCACTGCCTGCACGCTTGCAGGGTGAAGCTCAGAAGTGATGGCGACCGCTCTTACACGCTTGATATCTGGATCTTGGTCTGACACAGCTTCCTTCCACCCTTTTCTGTTTAAGGTTACCCATGTTTTGCTCTAGTTGCAAAACAAATTAATATGGAAGGCTTGACAGATTCTTGTCCTTTGATAAGTAGCTTTAGTTTTCTTAGTAGACACCCCCTTACTGCAAATATAGCACTTAGATTTCAATCCCAGTTATCTGGGGAATTCCACAAAAGTGAAAGATGAAGTTTTTAGATTTTTTTTTTTTTGGTATTTTAAGAGCGAATTGAATCATTTGGGAGAGAGCAGACAACCCACATGTGTGGGAAAACCCAAACAAACATTTAACTTGTGCAGGATTCTTTTTTAATATTTTACTAGAAAGAATTTGCATGTGAAAAACCTATTAATGTTATTTTGAGTAATCAAGAAACATCTGTATATTGCATGAGTGAGTCACTAAAGTTTCAGTCCAAAATTCATTTTTGAGCCCGTTTTTTCTAAAGCAAATTGTAAAGCACATTTTGAATAACATAAGAATTGAATATTTAAAAAGTAGTAATTAAAAGCTATCAATCATACTTTCTCAGGACCAGGTTCTGTATTTCCTGACACCATCTCAGGAGTCTAGTACAGGATGTTTTTATACTTGAAAAGCATGATGTGATCTTTGTCTGTTCAAAGTCGGGAAGAGTCTGACTTCAGTGAGTCCAGCATTTGGGAGAATGTTTCTGTGCTGCTGAGAAATAAGCAGTTTTTGTTCTTTATAGCAGCTATATTAGAGTGGAAAGTTTTATTGTGGGCCTTAATGAAAATAAAATTTTCCAGGAACAGATTTATCCTCTTTTTTGTAGCCATTCTTAGTGACAATAGGTTAGTGATATGTTGAGCTTCTTATTTTTCTTTATATAGTGTTTCTGCTGTTTTCCAAGTTTTCTCTTCATAAATACTTCGCATTTTTAATATTATTGTTAGTATGGGGAAAAATTATCATCTTAGATTTTCTAGATATCAGTGTGTTACTGTGAGTTAGGCAACTGTGTCAAGGCTATAAGCTTATGTTGTCATCCATTCAGTTGAGTTGATCTGTAACGCTATTGAGCTTGTTGTTATTTACAGTTTATTTTTTAAATCAGGCATTTAGCATTCTATGAGAGCTAAAAGATACAGTAGAGAAATTAATTGTTAATGATGTGCCCTCTCTGTGACCATATCTAAGACTTAATACTGAAATATTTAAAGCTGACAATGGCATAAACTCAACTAGAAAGTTAATTTTATTTTCCAGTGGTTTTAAGTTATGTGCAACATGACTTAATTACGTTAGCGTGTAAAAACAAGTAGCTAAAATATTAATTGCCATACTAAATAAACTAACAGTTCCACTTAAACCCTTAAGCTTCTAAGAATTCCTATAGTCCATTCAAGATTAAAAAAAAAAAAAAATCCAATTTAGAAATTACTATTCCCGGAACTGAATACTTTCTTTTCTGAATGTCTAGCCTTGTTCATGTGAAATTTTCTCAAATACAGCTTCTGGGTGTCATGCTTTTGACAAATGTTATGATTTTCTGTAGTTGAAATGCCTCATTTTTGTGCATTTAAATTTGAATTTCATATCTGTTAACACTACTGTTTGGGGGGCCAAGGTGTTAGCTTTGCAGATTTGATTAAAAGCCCAGCAGCATGGGAAGGTGATTAAGAGTTGCATTTCTGTTAGTTTCTGTTCAGCTCAGCTCCAGCATCAGAGTTGAAATATAGTTTCGGTATTACTGTGTGCTTGACAAACTGTCAACACCTACACTACTATACATTTTATTTAGAACACACTGCCTGCAAGACTCAAATCTGTTGCTACATGTACCTGTATAAGATATGCTTTTACCTTGGAACTGGAACTACTTTATGCCAACATAATATGCCAGTTATTACTTTCTAATACAGACTAATTAGGTAATGTCTAGTAGAACTTGTAAACAGATCAGTCTGTTACTCGTAGCCTATCTGAAGCTGAAGGATACAACATAAGTGTGCCTTTACAAAACAGAATTAGTGTGGGGTACTGTGCTGAGTATGTTTTAAACGATTGAATGAAATTGCACATTTTTTGCAGCCACAGAACTTGTACCATTTGGGGATGGGGTGTGGCACACAGTCTATTTGCTCAGCATTTATATAGGAAATCAACTGCTAGAAACCTGAAGCTATCTGTGATGATGAAAACTCTTGGTAACTGCGTGTGTTGTATATTTATGTCCTTTCATGTATGCCTTTATTGGCCAAAGGATCTCTGCAGTGATTTCTAATAAAAGACTTTTGCTGTATAGGTGATTGCTTGTTCTGCGTAAGAAAGTAAGTATGGTTATTTTAATTTCATTATGCCACCAAGAGGCACAGAGGATTGGCTCAGTCAGTCTTAAGCAATTGCACAAAAATGCATCAGTTAACATCAGTAATAATGACTGATCAGCATGCCAGAACCCTGAAGTAGCTACTGGCCTAGAAGAAATGCCACTGGGTCGCATATGTATACGTAAATACATGTACCTGTTCATCCTAGTTTTATATTGGTAGCAATATAGGGGCATGACTTAAATTGCAATGCAGTCAGAAGAGGGGTTTCTCTGACTAAAAAGTGTGTTGATTCTAGTCTTAGCTAAAAGTATTTCAAGCAGTTAGACATCCATAAACACCATTGGCTCTAATCTTGTTTTGTGTTAAAAAACCCGAAATATTAGCAACGTTCTGACAAAGAATTTAAAATATTTTCAATATAATGTCCATTCAAATAATTTCAACGCTTTCTGCTGATGAAGTAGGTAGTCCATTCGCTTTAAAAAAAGTAAATTCTTGCTGGTTCTTCTGCCAAAACCTTGGCAGCACATTTTGAGCTCTAGCCCAGAGAAACACGTCTGGTTTTAGCTAAATAAACCAATCTATCTGAACCCAGAAGCACAAGATGACTCTAAGTAAGATCAAGTTGTTACTTGTGATAAGAAGTGTCCTCGTTCTCACTAGCAGTCTTCAACCACCTATTAAGATTTTTCCTGAAGGTGTTTTTAGTGCAGTAGACTGACCAGAAAACCAACAGTAATTTTCCCTTTTAATACTATGATCTCAAAGTAACAAGGTCACCTCTGGCACATGGAAAGCTTTGGCAAATTTAATGTATTGCTTGCCATATTGATTAGTTCCTAAGTGGAGAGCAAAAGGTACACTTCTCACCTAGCCTATATCACTCATCTGCTCAGCAACAATTGTATTAAGTATTTATATTACTTTATTTGCTGAGGTAGAGGTACAGAAAAGTAATAATAAAAAACACTTCTCCAGTGCAGTAGTAACTTAAAAACACTAAGGTCTGATGAAGATTTATTTAAAATTAATACTGCAACACAATATTTTTGCTGCTGCTTCACTGAAATCAAAGACATCTCAGGATCTACATACTTAGAAATTCACAGTAAGGATGCACTTAACTTACAGAATTAGCACATTTTAAGCAGTTTATGGTTTATATTTTTCCACTATGGAGAAGCCAACGAGGAGCACAAGCCTCCTGGAAGTGTCCAGGTGTCACACCTGATGCTCCTTCTGCAGAAGGTAGAAGATACAGCATACCTGGAAAGCTGTATCTAAGTAACTCAAGTGAGGGGAGGAAGTGTCCCGAGTACAGTTCCCCTGAAATTGAGCACTGAAGTTGCAGGCAGTAGGGGCATTCTCATTCAGAGGAACAGGTATTCAGTTTTATGTACTTAGTATAATTCAGAACTGTGGTAAGCCGAATAGTGAGATTTAGGTCTTGTAAGATATTTATAGATATGTTGCTAAGTAAACACATGCCTGTTCATTTTCAGAGAAGTGCAAGTCTGAAATTCCTCATCTACGGAGACTGGAACAAGGAAGTATTTCAATGCTTTGGAATTTTTAAGACAAGCCAAGTGGCCATACGGAACAGAGGATTTGGATTCCATGCTTGCATCCTGGCCCATAGGCCATAATTAAATTCAAAATTTCATACTCACCTCATTCCAGCAGCAGTGGTACTGAGCTTTAATTAAAATTCATAAAGCACTACGATTGCCAAATAATACGTGTGATCTCCTCTTTTACTGAAATAGTAAGTCCAATAGTAAATCAAGTTAAAGAGCTCTTGTCAGTTAGAAATGCCATACTTAAACATTAAGGCCACACTTGAACAGAGTTCTAACCTGTCCTCATTAGTAACCATGGGTACACCATGTAGACTTGGGGCCAACAAATGTAAGTCAGTAGACCTCTTACTACTTTTATTCATGTAGCAACTTTGTACTGAAGTTGTTTCCATAATTTTCTCCAATTCCTTAGCGTTTGAAAAACAAGACATCACTAATAGCTTGTAAGAGAGCATACCATGTAGCCTGTTACAATATCAAGAAAAAATATTTTCTTGTTATATGCAAAATACTGAAAACACAGAAGGATTTCATGTAGTTAGTATTTCCGTGTGCAGCCAAAGAAGCAGTTTAAGTGTGATGGTTTTGCTCTAGCTGTGACAGGGATATTTGTCTACTAATTATCAGAGTGGAGAGAATAAACTGTTTTACACAAGTCAACAAGAGCTATTTCAATCTGTCTTGTCATGTACCTCAGGGTTTCCCCTTTTTTTCTGGACTACCATAATGAAATAGTCCCATCTCATCTATCTCATCAGATGCAGTATCATTTTAAAGCCTCTGCCACCAGTAGTACTTCTGCTCCCCAGCAGTACTTAAGATAGGAGAAAACCAGAGACACAAAAATGATATTGGATTCACCTCCCAGTTAATCTGTACATGGTTTTGAATGTTCTAGGTCACAGTACAAACTCATCTTTAATCTACGTTTGGACAAACATCAATTTACGTGTCAGTAAGAGGGGATAAGGAAGTTTGACCTCAGCAAAGCTACACACTATCCAGAGTCTTTGCAATAATCCCATCCAGCTAAGCGCATGCAGGGTAGCGTACCTCAGAAACAGTCTAGACTTCAAGTCAGTGTTTCTTCTGCTGCTCTTCAAGTAGCGAGGAGACAGTCACATCAGTGCCAGAACAGGGAAATGAGCTTTTGACCCCAACTCAAAGTCAGGACAAACATGTTTATTCTCCTTTTCTGAGATATTTATTCACTCTGTTTGGTGCCTAGAGTCATAGTAAAGAATAATCTTTGATTATCTGTCTCTATCAATTCCTACAAGTTTCTGAGGAAACCAGGAGCAAGTGGGTTGGACCAGATTTTTTGGATTTCATCCCATCCCCCCTCATTTGCTGGGAGGCACCATGAATTATGCATTATTTGCTCTACCTAAGACCTAGCCATCCTGTACCTTCAAATTGTCTCGAAGACACAAAGTTTTCATTGCTCAAAGCTTGCTTCAAACTCAGTCTTCCAGTTCCAAAGGAAGTTCAGAAATCATTCCAAGCCCAAGCAATCTAAAGTAAATAAAGGCACAAGTATAAAACCTAAGATGCGTTATTTTGCTACATGTTAGATGTTTTAGTTCCAACACAAAATGATGAAATGGCAGTTGAAGTGAACTTAAGAAGACTGACAAATAATGCAAGTCAAGGGAGATAATTCAAAGCAGTCTGCCCAAGTCATCCACCAAAGAATATATGTATCAAGATTTCTGCCAGTAACCAAAAAAGTTGACTAAAAATAGAATTCATGGATTATAGAAAAATACAGAGACAATAAGTGTCAAAGGGCACATAGTGTTTCAGTTTTAAAGTGAAAACAAGTCAGCTCAGAGATGAAGCAGCTTGTCCAAGATTGCGTAGGAAGTTTGCAACAGATCGGAAGCTAGAACTAGTCATTGGTGCCATTAGGCTAACGCCCTCCTCTTATTAAGGAGAAAGCTAAGGATAGCATTCCAAATCTTACACACAAACTGATCATAAGTTCTTCCTTTCAAAAAAACCATGCCAGAATCATACAAATCCATCAGCTTTTCATCCTGTTTGTGACAAGAGAACTAAGCCATCTAACTGTCACCTTGATTTTAATAGTTTTGTTTCCATCTGTAACTTCCCCAAAACATGGATATCTAGGCCCTCTTAGCAGATTGTCAGTGAGTTACAATGAGGAAGTGTACACTGAGAAGTGTGAAAGCTTTGGGTTTTTTTCCCCCATAACACAGGACTCCAGAATAGACAAGCAATACATTACCTCTAAACCCAAACCCACCCTCTTTTGCAACAGTCCAACTGTTGTTAGAGGAGTGTTGCCTAAAGACCATCTGCCTGAGAGCCAAAACAAGCCTTTCAGCAAATCTACCTCACTTTTTTTTTCCAGGAAGAATGCAAATAAAAGCTGTTTACCTAATGTGACTTCCACAAGATGATGCCCATTATCACAACCCAGATGCTTCACAACAAAAAACCCCCATTCTTGCTGCTTTTATAAAGACCAGTTGCTCCTCACCTTATTACTGACCTCAGAGAATCAGATGGGAAGCAACAAATCAGCTACAGATGAGGATTAGGACCAATTATTTTAAAAGAGCATCCATCTGTTTTCCCTGATACAGTTAAAATATTTATTTCACTCTTTTAAACATTCACTTTAATTCAAATTAAAATCTTTCATGCACATGTAATGAAGACACTTATTTTTGCATCTTTGCTACAAAGTTTTTAAATAAGACCTTTATTCCAATTTTTTCATAAACAATTCAAAATAACTTTTAAATCTGTTATTGAAGCAGACCTTTGAAGCAAGATCATCTATTTGGAACTTCCCATAGTTTTCCTGTTTACTTGCCCTATGCAATTCAGTCACTAGATGTCACTGTGTGCCTTTAAGAGACATAATGGGATGTGCTCCTTGGTTTAAAAAAAAAAAAAAAAAAAAAGATTGAAAAAGAATCAAAGCAGGAACCTAGGCAGTGTCGAAAGGCAATTGTTTATGACTAAAATCTAGCTCGGTCCTCTAATAAGTATCTGCTGTTTAACACAGACTCAAATAGATGATTGGGGAGAAAAGGAAAAAAGTTTTCCTACTCAGAAATGGAATTTTGAAGGAATTATTGAGGATGGAGCCAGCATATTGTTCCATGTAATTACTGATTGATAATGCACACCCAGATTTTCAAGACAAGCCTTTGTAGAATCACACAAATCCCCCCAAAATGGAGAAAACAACTGAAAATGCTTAGCCACATTTTGGTCAGTATGGTAGTGAAGTTTAGACACTATTTGGGAGCTACAACAACTTGGGATTATGGAAATATAACTAACTGTGCCTGTTATGGAAAAAAAATGCAGCTATGACTTGCCAGAATCTTTGGATGACTTTTGCTTGTCTA